ATGCACTGCCCAAATGGGGAAGAGGGCTGTGTGCTGCATGATGCTGAGTCAGCCCTGGGGAACGAGAGGGGATTTACAGCCGCCTGTAAATCCCTGGGTGCTTGCTGCTGGGACAGCCTTGGATGCAGGGGATGCAGGGTGTCAGGGGGTGGATTTGGGGCTGCTGCTGCTGAAGTCTTGTTCAGGGTCATCTGGCTAAACTCAAACAGGTCCCGGTGGTGGCTGTCAGCCTGTCCCAGTCAGGAACTGCCACAGAGCATGAAGCCCATGAGGCTGGAAGGCACACAGCAGTGCAGAGCAGCCGTTCGCTAGCTAACAGGAGTCCCCAGCCTCTTTACTGCACCAGCTAAAGCCCCTTCCCAACATCCTGGTTGCAAGCTGCCTGCCAGGGCCAGTCCCATGTTCCCCTGCCCACCACAGGCACAGGGCAGAGCAGTCACCACCCCAGCACCAGTACCCACCTCGTATGTCCTGAGGTGCAGAGCAAGGCCAGAGGCAGCTCTGGACCAGCAGCAAGATGAACAGTCTGTCCTGCCCATCGCGTGTAACCTGTGCAGGGTCCTGGAGCAGTGTCAATGCCCTCCAGTCCTGCTCCTTGCAGGCGGCTCTCGGGTGCTGCTCAGGGAATTTGCTCCTGGCCTCCTTGCAGATCTTGGAGTAGGTCTTAGCAAAGAGGTGCAGGACTCTGGGAAAGAACGCTGGGAGCAGAACATCTGGCATGTGGGAAGCAAAGAAGAGCCCTTAGCAAACTGCCAAGCTGCTCTGGGGACAGGCTGGGAGAAATGAGATGGGAGCACAGGTTTCGGCAGGACACACAGCCAGAGGTGGGATGGGGATGGTCATGGAGTGAGAACAGGCAGCCCTGGGGTGAGCACAGGGCCCTGGGGTGATGCAGCCACAGCAAGAGAGCTGTCTTCAGAGGGGGAACCCTATAGGTGAGCCAGGACGCCACAAACAGTTTCCAAGGAGAGACCTGCAAGCCATGCTTGCAAGACTCATGGGGAAGCAGAGGGTGTCTCATCAAACAGACTCAATAGCAGTCAGTATCAGGACTGCAGGAGGAGTGTGACTGTCACATCATCATGACTGCTGCAGCATCTGACAGAGAACAAAGAAGGCACCACATTAACACAGCAGCTTTTCAAGGAATCATAGAATCACAGCGTGGTTTGGGTTGGAAAGGACCTTAAAGCTCCTCCAGTTCCAAACCCCTGCCATAGGCAGGGACAGTTTCCACTAGACCAGGTTGCTCCAAGCCCTGTCCAAGATGGCCTGGAAGTGTCAGTGCGGTGGAAAATGGGTTCATGCTCTGCTGGGGCTCTTCTCTTGCAAGGGCTGCAGGCAGTACCGAGTCTGAGGACAGCAGGGGGGCAGATGTCTGCACAAGGGAGCACGGGTTGCAAGCAGGAATGTGTGCATCCAAAGGAAAGGCCCACATATTAGGGAATTGAGGGGAATGCCTTTCCTTCCCACACCCTTCCTGGCAGCCAGACCCAGCGCTCACCCTCCCAGTGTGACAGGCAGTGGCACATCCCCAAATCGCACACGTTTCCATGCAGCAGCTACGCCATACAAGGCAGGGACCACCAGGCTGGGGATGGGCATGTCGGTGGCTCTGACACCCCTGTGACCACTGTTTTGGGGACGTCAAACCATGTATGAGCACATGAGAGCTTTGTGCATACTCAAAACGCCCAGGGCTCAGGCTAGCCCTTCTGCAGCATTGCCTGGGGACAGCCCAGCTCCTGCTCCAGGGTTACAGAAGCTGCTTCCCTGGTCCCTGGCTGGTGTGACCCTGCTCATGGCAGGAGCAGTGCCGAGGAAGGAGCAGGCACATCCCGGTTCCCTTTCGGTCGGAGGACACACGGCTCTGCGGTCATGGCATGTCCTGGGACTCAGCACTGAAACAGGTGCCTGCCGTGTTGACTCACTTCCTTGGCCCCTCACTGACTCCCTCTCTGCCTCAGTGCCCCCATGTGCACAAGGAAACCCACAGGGTTTCTCTGAATGAACCTCAGTGTCAGCACTGCCCTCAAGCAGCCCTCACAGCACAGAGCCCCTATTTCCCCTTGCTTCAAGGCTCATGGGGCAAGAGCCAGTCTCTGTGCACCAGCATCTGCCTGTGGTCCATGGGTGACAGCATGGAGATTTGGGTGAGGTGCTGCTCCTGGAGAGCATCATGCAGGGAGCAGGGCATGCAGGTGCAAGCACCAACTTCCAGCTGCAGGCAGGAACAGGCAGGAGCCCTCTCTCCAAGTGGCCCCAGCAATAGGGTCCCCACTTTAGGAGAGGGATGCAGACCTCTTTGCACCACAGACAGGCCTTTGGGAAGAAGAATCTCAAACAAAAGGAAGACACTGGATGCAATACTACCATTGGCTGGTTTGCAGTACCAGGCAGAGACAAGAAAGGCATTGATGCGTGGCTCCTCCACGTGTGCCACAAAGCCAAGGGGGAAGACAGGGAACTGAGCACCATGCAGGACTGGAATAAGCATGTTCTCAGGAAAGGGATGCCCGATAGTGATGGCCACAACATGCTTCATTTCCATGACCCTGAATAATCACCAAAGACAGTAAAAATCCAGTGGCATCTTGTTTATCTTCAGAAAGGGGAAATGTGTGAAATGAGGAAACTCGGATGAAATGAAGCTAAAAGAAGCAACATGGTCACACAGTGTCCAGCAAGCTTTCAAAGATATAAGGCAGCTGTTCACGGCTTTTGGTATCAAAAGGTAAAGAGAAACCAGCATGGGTAACCACTAGGGCCAAGAGGTTAAGTGGAACAGAGAGGCCCCTTCAAAGAGTTGTCTAGATGGCAAAAAAAAGTATATAAGATGTAGAAGTTCAGTAAGACAAACAGGAAAAAAGAGCAAAGACCAGCCTGCAGAAGCAGCCAGCGGTCCTTTCTGCAAACACTTCAAGAGTTTCAATTCTGACACAAAGTCTGTAGGGTCAAGGGGAGAGCGTGCCCTCACAGTGGAGAAATGACATCCCCCAGGGTGGCAAGATGGCTGTGAGACGTGGCTCAAATGGCAGCACACTGTGAGGTCATGGCAAGGTGGGACATGTGCGAGGCAGAATGCCTGGATTCTGGCACCACATCAGGATGGAGCTCCCTACCTACACCCTACACAGATAGACCCTGATCATCTTCCCGCTGTGCCAGACCTGTGCTCTGTGATGGGGTATCACAGTGGGACCTGCCAAACCCAGAAGCCCCAGGACACCTGTGTCCTGTCTTGCTGCAAACAAGCTAAAGCTGACTTTGTGGCTTTGGGTTTGCCTTGTGCAACCAGAGCATGCAGCTGCTGGACCCACTGGGGAAGGTGGCACTGGCTTGGAACACCCCCCTACCCTCCGTGCAAGAGCCCGTGTTACTCCGAAGGCTGGATTTTTTCTGATGTGGAGCAAGGGGAAGTGTGAAGAGTGAAAGAGCAAGAGGGCTTCCTGGCAACTGCTTGGGCCACACTTCCTCCATGGCTTTTGAGGTTTCAGATGGGGCAATGAAGGGCTTTTGGAGATGCCGTATACCATTAACATAGCTGCTGACAGCCACTGTGTGGGCAGTGGTGCACAGAGGGATTGGGGATGTGATTATTTTTTTTTTCAGTCTTTTTCAATGTATGGGATTTCTCACTGATTTTTCCAAAGATCTTCCAAATGAGCAACCTATTCCTACTGATAGTGTGCTTTTGTAGCCCTTCAATTACTTCTTGAAAGACCCACAAGCATCACAGGGAAGGAGGAATTGATATCTGAGTTGCTGGCTGTGCACTTGCAACCCCAAGGCACTTGTTAACCTTTCAGTATGGTAAACTTTCTATGAGTGAGCTTCAAATCTGAGCAAAGGGCACAAAAAGCCATGTTCCTCAGGGAGACCAGTGGCCCTGCCAGCTTTGTTGCAGGAGGAGGTGAAGCACAGACAAGATTGTGAGGATGACACTGCGTTTCTGAGCATAAAGGGCATAAGGAAGTGGCCAGGCAGACTCCAGCTTTGTCCCTAGATGTAAAAGACTGATGGAGCATCTGCCCTCAAGCACCATAACTGCAGAAAAAGAAGACTTGTACCACACTGTGCTCAGATTTTTGGTGTGGCTGGAGTATTTGGAGAGGGCCAGCTCATGGTGGCCTTCTTGGTGTTGCTGAATAAAGGTGTTGTAGGGTGTGCAAATCAAACAAAGCATGTGCATTAGTAGAAAGCAAAGCCTGACCCCAGGCTTGGGAGTACTGGGTCTTGCTGAAGAGCAAAGAGGAAGGCCATCACAAGGGGCTGCAGCCCTGTAGTGAAGCCTCAGGAAAGATGTCAGAGCTCATTTTAATCGCTGCTGTGTGTTTTGGCTGGGATGCAGACCAATCACATCCAGCTGGAACACAGATTCATCAATTCCTGCCCTGGGCCACCTCAGGTCAGCTGCCCCATCCAGTGCCACCAGCCTCCAGCTGGACAGCATCACCAGCAGCCACCTCCCTGCCCACTGCTGTCCCTGTGCCACCTTCTCACCTCTTCAAGGCCATTCCTGCACCCAACATGCTGGTAACACAACCTGCCGCAATACTTGTGCTCCAGGTCCCCAGGGCTTTCATCAGCTTATTCCTGAGCATCTGCTCTCAGCCCAGTCATGAGCACCAGCCCCTTCTCACAAAACCACATCTTTCCTGGCCATGGCATGCGCTGTCAGGTAATTAAAGCAATCAGTGCACTTCAGAAGTCCTTTCTATCACAACCCTCATCAGGCAGTAACAAGGTGAGAGTTGTCCTGCTGCAGTCTCTGCCTGGTTTTACTGTGTGTGTATGGAGGCTCCATCTTCCTGAAAAACCCCAGCCGTGAGCGAGCACAACTCACAGGTCCTTTGGGGACTGTCGATATCTGCGCTGGGAGAGGAAGCAGCAGCCCAGCTGTTGTGGCTGGTATCATCTCCTGCCACAAAGCCTGAAACCTGTGGTTCTTAGGGCAGCACATTTGTGAAAGGGGCGTGAAGCTGCCCTTGTGAAAGAAAAGAACGAAAGCAGCACTTGACACTGACAGAGGTTCTCTCTCCAATGAGGAAGCCTCTTGCACTGTATGTGATTTCTGTTTCCTTTGTGGGCTCGCACCTCTTGCAATCAGATGGGTGCACTGTGAGGAGCCCAGCGCGGCTGACACCTCGTCCTGCCCTGGAAGCATAAACGAATATGGCCCTGCCACGATGGATCTTTCTCCTGCTCCTCACAACTCTGCTGGCAGCAAAGGAGGAGGAAGAGCAGGACCCCAACATCTCTGGAGAAGGTGAGGAAACAGGTAACAAGGGTTCACTCCTGTACACACAAGAGAAGGTTTTGCTGCCCTCCTGTTAGGTTGTCTTTTATCTTTACTGCATGCAGGATGTATCAGAGAGGACTGCAGCTGATGTCCATACCTGGGCCCAAGAGATCTGGGTATTAGTTGGGGTTTTGAGGTGAAGCTCTATTTGGGGATGGAAGGCAGAAGACCTCAGCGTGATAGAAAAGCCTCTGCAGGGGCCGTAATGTTCCTCTGAGGAGCAGGCAGTGTCTTTGGGAGCACAAGGTGGCCACATCTCCTTGCACATTGCACAGATGCCACATCCTCACTGCAGTGGAGATGGGTGCTAGTGCCCAGCAAAGACATAGGGAGCCGTAAGCTGAGTCCCTGTGTATCCAGGAGGCACATGAAGTGCTGGGATTGCTCTTTAATGGGCTTCCTTGGTGCTGGAAGTCCAGGGGACCCCAGGGCTCTGCCAGGCTCTTCCTGCACAGGCTGCACATTTTCATCTCAGCAGGCTCACGTGTTATTTCACCTGCAGGCTCACATGTTATCTGACCTCTCAGCAGGTTTGAGATGTGGCTCAGGGGCTGTAACCTTGCATTGTTCTGCATCTGTTTGAACTGGAGTATTTCTCTAAGCCAATCTTTGATAAAAATCACTAAATTAGCATCCAGCCGTGTCCCAGTCCATGGCGAGGATGTGTCTGGGCTGATGCAGGCTAGAGAAACCTGCTGATTACATATGGTATGATAGAGGCTGGGGAATGGGACCAGCACCTTTGGCTGCTGGTGGGAAGTGACGGCAGCACGTGTACTATGTGGTATGGGCCATAGGAGCCCGTTCCCAAGGGAAATGTGCCTCTGGTTGCAGGGATTGTGAGCACAGCACACTGTTACTCAAAAAACAAGGGCTAAACCTGCAACAGAGGACATCCTCCTGCCCAGAGTTGCTTCCCCTTGTCCAGATCCCCCACTCAAGTTGCTACCAGGACAGCGTCTGCAACCATGCCCAAGGGTGGCTCTCCAGGTTGCTTGCATAGCACACACTGCAGCCAGGACCTGTCCCCACCATGTGTGGTGGGATGCAGCGGGTGGGCAGCAGACTTGATGTGCCCTCCACATCTCAGTCACCCAGCTCATCCCTGGGGCTGCCTGCAGCAGAGATGGTATTGCTGAGTTTGCACTTTGTTGTTTGTGAAAAGAGGAACCAAGACAAAAGAGAGTTGTCAGCCGCACCCAGCAGTGCGGGCAGCCCTGCTGCACCCTCTGCACGTGGGCTTATCCCATTCTGGGACCTGTGCTTTATGGATTGGGGGCCTTCTCTTTGCTGAGGGACAGGACAAGGGGGATGGCCAGGATGGGGCAGGAGGGTCCCTCCCATCCACATTAGGGTGAAATGGCCTCTATAGGGCAGACAGCAACAGTGGGGCAGGGTAAAACTGTTGGGTAGAGACAGGGAACACAGGACATGACTTAAAGGTCTCCTTTTCCAGGGGTTCCTGAGCATCTCCCACAGCCCTTGCAGATGTAGGGTGTAATCAGGGAGGGGCAACAGCCAAGTGAGGACTGGATAAGCTGCTCCCCCTCACATTGTTGACCCTTTGCAGAACTTACAAAGTCCCCCCATGCTGAGGGGACCAGGGTGCAGGGTAATGTGGGGCTGTCCCCATGCAGCAGGGCTCCTGCCTGCCCAAATCACAGTGCCAGCTCCCCCCCAGCACTGAGCACTGGCAGCACTGGTTCCTGAAAAGCCACAGGCGTGGCAGTAGTTTTGGTGAAGGGCCTGGCATTTGCTGAAGAAATGAGAGCAGATGGCTGAGGAGCACCCCAGAGATGAGAGCACTGCTCAAGTAAAAGCAGAGCAGCTGCAGGGAGAGGATGTGGTTGGTGCACGTGGTGCAAGTGTGAGCCAGCACAGCACTCCTCTCTGCTCACCCCATCACACCATGCAGGGTGCATTGCCTCACTGTCCTATTGTCACCTTATTGTCCTGCTGTGCTGTTCTTACAGGGGTTTCCTCCCACCTGAGATGCTGCATCTCTGTGAAAACCTCATTCCCTTACAGTCCCAACATGCTTAGGAGGCAGGTGGAGAAGTTTCTAGGGAATGATTTCCCTGCAGAGGGAGGGTCTATGACCCAGGCTGGCCCTGATCCCTTTCTCATCAGCCTTGCTTAACATTACATAGTGATTTAATTGCAGCTGCCAAGGTGCTCTAACTAGGGGCATACTGCAGTGCTCGGTGTGTAGGAGGGTGCTGGGTAAAATAAAGCCCCACTCAGTCTGAAAGGTTTTGTGTCAGTGGGACTCTGATTTCAAACAGTGCCTAGAGTAAATCCTGTTGGGAGCACAAACACTAAGAGATGCTGCAGAGGAGTGCCTTGGGGCTCAGAGCTGTGTGCTCCACCATGCTCCTCATTACCAGAGTACAGATTCAGGAAACAAGTATTTCACCTCCTGTCCTTCAATCCATGTCCGAGCTCCTTTTCTATGGCAGAGCAGTACAGGTTAAAGTGCCACCATTTCCTTACTCTTCCTGCAGTGGCTTGTTCTGTGATCTGCTTTGCCACCTCCTTTTCCCAGCACTCCTCCCAAGCAGAGCATCTCAGAGATGTCTCTGCCCCTTCCACTCTCACCCTGCCCATCACTCTCAAAGACCCACCCAGCACCTTTGGTGGCTAGTGGTGAGTACAGAGATGCTTTAAGACTTGTGTGTGTTCTCAATGGCTTGCAATATCACTTTACATGGTGGAAATGGTGGTTGCTTTCCTTAGCAAGCATATGGCATTAAACACAGCAAGACTCCAGTGTGCTTTGCTGTCATCTCTGCTAGCTGCTGAGCTGCTGTGGGAGAAGGGTTGAACTTTGCCTGCTGCTCCTTAGATTTCCCCTTGTCTTTTATTCTTTATGTATGGAATAATACAGCGCAAGAAAGTACACCTTTTGCTGGTAAGCAAAGGGCTGACCTGAATTACCAGCATAGCTATTTGTCCTGATCCTCCCTGACATCTGCTTCTGGTACATGCTGGGGCTTTGTTTTGCCTGCCAGGCTCATAACTCCTTTGCAGCAGGGACAGGCAGCCCAGATATTTCTGTAAAATGCTTTCTATATTCATGGGTATTAAACCATATTAACAAGGAGGGTATTCATTTAGTAGAATCAACTGGAAAAAAAAAAACAAAACCAACCCACGTAACAGTTAATCTCTGACTACATGAGGCAAATAAGCTAACCTTTTGTTACCACTCCTCCCTAGGCATTTAGCATTGTCCATTTTGCAGTAAGCACACATTGCACATTGTAAGAAATGCCTGTTTGATCACATCTACACCATATTTTCCATGCTGAAATTTCACTTGTCTCAGCCTCTTTCCTATAGCTGGGGGTGGAGAACCTGTGGGCAGCTCTCTGCATACCACAGTTCAGGGTGAAAAACAGTGTCTGATGACAGTTTCTTTGCTCTCCCAGATGCTGTTAGTCCCTATGAGGCCAGAAGCTGAGTGTTTCTTTCCCCTTTCCCTCTGAACACCCTCCCTTTCCCAGCAGTGCCCCATCCCCCTGCGCACAGATATGTGCATCCACCTCCTTTGTACTAGTGGTGAGCTCCAGACTGATGGAGACTTCCCATAGCCACCACCAAAGCACACAAATGGGTTAGAGCAAAGGCTCCTTTGCTCCAAGGAGCTCTTTTCCCATGGCAAATGTTATGGGAAAATGTAAGAAAGAGGGTGAGGACAGAGGTGTCCCTCCCCTAGCCTGTGTATCTCGACTGCACCCCACAGTCTTGGGTTAGTTTCTCTCAATGAGTTTCAAATTGTACTCATACCCCTGCTATTGGGCTTATTGGAGAAGTGAGGTTGAATTAGATGGTATTCAGCAATGTTCTTGAGACAAAAACAGATGTGGGCTGAAAGTGTCTTCTCTTCCCCTTTCTGCATGGAAGCAGAGACTTCGAGGCTTTACCCTCAAGCAGTCATCAAGAAATGCCATCAGGAAGGGCTCTGAGTGGCTGCAGGTGCTTGAATGTAAATGGTGTCAGTGCTGTAACACCCTGCCTGTTGTCAGCTCCTCTGCATGGATGGCATGGGTGCTGGTAGAAGGATGCTCTGTTTACAAGGAGCTTTGGCAGCCTCCCAGGCTGTCTCACTGATGTACACTACCCCTTTGCAATGCAAGCAAGCTCATTTTGTCATACCCATCCCTCTGTCAGACAGCATTAATCCCCAGCCTAATTTCTAAGGCTGGTGCACTCTCCTACAGCAGCTCCCTCCAGGCTCCTCTGAGGATGGGGCTGAGCTGTGGGCTCTGCCTGCCCTTTCTGATCAATCCCACGCAGGCTTCATGCCCTGTCCCGTGTGCTCCATGCGCAGTCCAGGTCAGGGTGCTGTATCAGTCCCTGCCCACACCATGAGTGAGCATGACATGACCACCTCTGGCAGGCCAAGGTGCACAGGGGAGCCTGTAGGGAAGAAAAAGGGAGACCAAATGACTGCTCCCATAGCTCAGAGGGCCCAGAAGGGAAAGGACAAGGTGCAGAGGACAGGCATCCCATTAGTGCCTGCATGGGGCTCAGTGGGCACAGCCAGGTACAAAGAGGGATCAAGAGGGTTTGCCTGCAGGACTGCTCACTTGTGCAGTCCTTGTGCCTTTACCAAGCCTTTTTCACCTGAAAAAAGGAAAAGATTCTATCGTTCTATGCTGACATTTCTGGCAAAGGGTTGGGGCTGATAAATGCCCAGATTAACAGATTTCACTGGAGACCTGATGGAGTTGGCCAGCCTAGTCAGAAATGTGTGGCTGTTGTTCCAGCTTAGTCCAAGGATCCCTTCACACCCTCTTCCAGCCTGGTATCTTTACACAGCACCTGTTTACTTACACCTTAGTGAACCACTGAAAGTTAAGGGAAAGACTGAATCAATTCCAAGTGCCTGCCAACAGTAATCATTACAACACTACAGACTCCTAACTTCAGCATGCAGAAGCTTCACCTTTCAGTAAAAAAAAAAACACCATAAACTTTAAACAAAGAGCAATTCTCTTTTGTACTACAGCAAGTCTGCACTGTGTGACACCTTTAACACAGCAACCATGAGAAGTGGCCTTTTTAAACTCACTGTTACCCCTGGCCTTCGTAAGGAAGCACCACACAAGGCCAAAAACCTCTAGAGAGGTTCATTCAATCAGTGGCAAATGCTTTGCTACACAAAAGGCACTAAATGTGTTGATGAGCGGCTCAGAGAGGGCTGGGAGCAAATCAGAGCTCTGGCATACAGCCATAGCCAGCCCTGCCAGCAGAGCATCAGCGTTTGTAGGAAGACACTGTCCCAGACCTCTTGAAATCTGCGTCTCTGTTACATGCAGAGGAGAATTCACCTTTACCTCCTCATCTCCTGCCCTGCAGGTTGCCATGTTCTGTGCTGCTGGTGGGGTTTGTGTCACTGCAGGGATGGTAACAGCCACCAGGAGGTACGGAAGCACTTAGAAAAGGAAAAGCAATGCAAAATGAAACACTATAAATGCCTTCATAAGTAGCTGTCACCTTGCCTGAAATAATTGCTGCTCTATTTACCATTTTGGTGGTATTTTATCTATCTTGTTTAATTGGCAGGGGTCTTATTCTGGCTGAGGTGATGCAGCTCTTGTGGTCTCTTAGCCTGCTGCATGAGCAATACAGAACAATCATGGTTTCCTGGCAAGTTCTAATGCTGCCTGGGCATTGTGCTGGGAAGGAGTACAAATTCACTGTGCCTGCCTGGATGCAGCCGGGTAACTGTGGACAACGGCTGAATATACTTACAGCTTTACTTACAGCTGAATTTGTTCATAGAAAAAAGTTAACAGAGAGGTACATTTCTTACTACATGAAAATTGGTACCTGGTCAGAGCTCGAGACCCACATTAGTGCCATGCAGACAGACAGCAGCGCTCCTGTGTAGGAACTAATGGAAAACAAATATAGTGATTTACTTCCATCAATTGCCCAATCTGCAAGTTTCAAAATGCCACTAAACATGCAGCAGGTTAAATAATACATACCTGCAGTCCCTGCTGAGTCCTTTTTGCCAACCCAGCTGTGGGAATGTTTCCCCTCTCAGGTAAGGATGGGAGTGATATGGGATGGTAGGTAGCCAGTCCTAGAAGCCAGCAGGTATTTTGTGCAGGGCATGGAAAGGATTAAATAGAAAGTGTAACCTGCAGAGCAAAAGCAAACTGGCAGCTTGATTGGGCTTTTTGCTGCAAATAAGTGCTTATGTGGGTATAAGCAAGTAGTGCTCAGCAGGATGATGGGGACACGAGTGAGTGATGCCAACAAGGACTCAATGGCTCTGGTGCCATAGCCCCTGTCTTTGGGGCAGAGAGCGGCATCCTCCAGGCAGCTGGAACACATTGGCTGGGACCCCTCTGCAGCACAGAGGGGCTCTGGGTACACTCCTGCACTGCAACTGAGGGTGCAAGGGGATCAATACACCCAGGGCTGCATTCTGGGAGGTGATTATCTGTGCCGCCCCTCTGTAGTAATGGGGACCTCGTCACCCCCCGCAGATGCTTCTGGAGCCCAGTGATGCTCAGGGCTCTCCCTCATGGCTTTTGCACACAGGAAGATGTAAAGCTCCCTCTGATGGGACTCCAAGCTGCGGCTGGCCCCATACCACAGCAGCTATGCCCTGAACGACTTGGTGCACCTGAGCTGTGCTGGGGAGTATATGCCATCAGTCTCTCGGATCAGATGCACTTCCAATGGGACCCACACTTTTTGGAACACGACTGCCACCTGCAAGGATAAGCAGAGCATCGCTCTGACCCCACTTACCTGTGGTGCAGGTTAAGGGTGCTGAGCTGGTGGTAGACCCTCCGTGACTGGGTCGTGCTTCAACCCCACTGGGGTGACAGTCCAGGAATGGGAGACCTGGATGTCTCAGCCTTCCCCACTGTCCTGGCAGTGTCAGGGCACTTTTGTCTCGGCACCCTGCCGTGGGCAGCTACTGGTGTCTGTGGTCCTGGGGAGGCGTTCAAAGGCAGGAACAAGGGTCCCAGCACTGAGACTGACTCTGTGTCCCAGTGGCTGAGGTGGTGAGAGTGGAAGGGAGGAGCCCAGTCCATGGACAACCTTATCTAAATGGAGCCTGAGTGGGGAAGCCTACATGTATGTGGGGATAGATGGGACTGCTCCTGCAATAGATCTCTCTCCTGCGACCTTCACTAGGTGCAAAAAAGGGATCTGGAGTTGAGTGTGGTATCAAGGGAGCTGTACAGTGTCAAAATGAGGGCAGTAGACCCCTTAGCAATGCCCTTTCCATCCTGCTTACACTGTCTCCTGCTCCTCTGGGCAGAGAAATGCCAGCAGCCCCAGTGGGACTCAAAGCTGCACTTTACCCCACACAAGAGTTTTTATAGGATCAGTGAAGAGGTGACACTGAGCTGCTCTATGGAGGATCCTATTGCCCTTGCCGTGATCAGATGTGCAAAAGGAGCACCTCCTAAGTATGACTGGGAGATGGACAGTCAGGGAACATGGCATGGGGTGGCAGAGAACCTGACCTGCACCACAGGTAAGTGGGGAACAGTAGGCCCCCCTGCTACATGCATCTGTTCTTGAGGAGGGACCTTGAATATCCTGACATATCCATGAGACACCTTGGCCACAGCTCAGAGACAGCCCCCAGGTGGGAGCAGACTCCTTTAGAAGCCTTTAGTGTGGGACAGGTTTTCTGACTGTCCCTGCATCTCTTCCCAGTCAATTCCTGAGTTGCAGGACATAGGGAAGCTGGAGGAGACCAGATCCTGCCCTCACTTCACCCCTCTCCCAGTGTCCTGTATGACCACCTTGCCCAGGCACACACTCCTGCCCTGGAGATATCAAGTTGTCCTTCCCCAAGGTCAAATACGTGCAAGGGAATTTCTGCAAGCGAGCTCTGTAAAACCAGCCTATGGAAATGCCTGGTGGGGCAGGAATAGCACAGGTGCCTGGATACACCTTCTGAGGTCCATAGAGTGTATAGGTGATGCAGCACCAGCTCTCCCATGTCCCCTCTCTACCTTCATCCTTGATAGCCAGTCATGATGTTGCCAAGCTGAGCAGCACACATGCCACTGTCCCTCCTTGGTGCTGCGTTGCCCATGCAAAGTGTTGAAGGAGGCAGCCCAGTCAGGAGACAAGAGACAAGGTAGTGCCAGGTGCGGAAGCCATATGGGCAAGCCAGCAGCTCCTGCAGTGGTTTCTGAGCAGGGCAAGTGTGGAACCCTGCAGATGGGTGCCATGGCATGGGGAAAGTTTGGGGACCAGCACTGTTGTGCCCACGGAAGTGCCATGATCCTTGCTGTGCCTCCCTGGGTTGCACAGGTCTGCCTGTCCCCCTGCCTGCCCTTGCAGATGAAGAAACCTGCAAATGCAGGAGCTGGGTTGAAGGGACTGAATTGAGCCCTGGGTCAGCCCCTGGTATCAAGGCTGTAGGCTGAGGGGGATGGAGCTGAGGGAAGAGCAATGCCCCTCCTCAGGTGATGGGGATGCGGGACTGGCCTGGGCAGGGGCAGAGTTGTGCTGAGTGTGCAGGTGAATGAGCATGCAGCCCAGTGCTCAGGTGAGATGGGAGGAGAAAGACAACATGGGAACCTCCCTGGTTGAGGCTGTGGGAGATGGCTAAGAGTGTCCACAGACAGAAGTGGGTGGATAGTGGAGGTTCATGGATGAAGGATAACCATGCTTCAGGTACACAAGGAAAACCCAGTCCCAACAAGCCTTACCTATGGGTGATGTCCTAGCAGATGGGTATTTCACCTTCCCTCTCCCTCCAGGGCCTGATGGATCACTGGGGATCTCCCTCCCATGTCCCTCCTCAGCACCTCCCACCCCAGCTAACATCCTCTTTTCAGATCCACTAGAAACGTGCCAAAGGCCCCAGTGGGACACAAGACTCCAGCTGAAACCAGACCAAGATAGTTACCAGAAGTATGAAGAAGTGATGCTGAGCTGTCTTAAGGGTTTCCAGCCACCCTTCACCCATGTCAAATGTATAGGAAAGAACATGTCCAACAGCAATGGGAAACCTGAACACAGAGAGGTTTGGCTTGGAAAGGACAGCAGAGGCCAGTGGAACCACACTCAGGACATAGTGGAGTGCATTGGTAAGGGTAGCATCAGAAGCTCTCTTGGTTGCCCTGCTCTGCCCCTAGCTGAATGATTGCTGATATCCCTCCACCACCCCCTGTCCCAGCTTGTCACCCCCCACCCCATCTAACCCCTACTTTCCCCTATGACAGAAACATGCCAAAGGCCTCTGTGGGACACAAGACTCCAGCTGGCACCAGACCAGAGCAATTACAAGACAAACAAAGAAGTGATGCTGAGCTGTCCTGAGGGTTTCCAGCCATCCTTCACCCACGTCAAGTGCTCAAGGGTCCATTCTGTCAGTCATGGGAATTCAGAAGTTTGGTTTCGAAAGGACAGCAGAGGCCGGTGGAAACGCATTCCGTACAAAGTTGTGTGCATCGGTAAGGGAGGCATCAGGAGCAGCATGCTGCTTTGCAGGGACAGGATGCTAGGAATCTGTAGGGGTGAGAATCAGCATGGGAAGGTCATGGTTTTCCCTCGGGGCCAGTGCTGGGAGGTTTGATGACTGTGGAGCAGCTCCTGCAGTTAAAGGATGAATGTACATGTTGTGCTCTGCACGGCACCTAAGGCTGCCAGCGACCACACACCTTAGGGGGAGAGAGGGCAGAAGGATCTCTTTGTTGCTTCATGTGATCTGTGATGAAGGTGACCCAGGAGGGGACACACTATGCTGCACTTCCCTCTGTTCCCTGCACCACATGTACCTATGTTCGAACAGTCACAGACACTTGTCTGCCTGTGGGAACTCTCCCAAAACCTCATGTCCAGCTCCTAGGAACACGGTGACACCAAACTCCTCCTACTCCCCTACCAGGGAGCAGGAGTGACGAGTTTCGTCCATCAGAAGGCATCTTGCTGCTGCTTTTCCAGCTGGATGTGCCTGGGTGCAAGCACTGGCCGGGTGCCTGTAGTGGGGCAGGTCAAAGACTTGTGGCTGTGGTTGTGGTGCTCAGTAGGGCATCTCTTGCCTTCTGCAACAAGGGCTGTTTGAGAGCAAACCTGACCATGAGCGGGCTGACACCAGCACGTCTGTACTGCTTTGTGGCTGTTCAGAAGACGGTCTGAACCTTGTGAGATCCCTTCTCCGACCCTCTGGGAGAAGGAAGATTGCATTTTAAGCTGTTTGAGGCTGCTCAGAGGCCTCAGAGGCTGGAACAGGGACACGCTCATTCCTAGCTGCCAGCCGGTACGAATCATTGCCTTGTCCCACAGCAGTTGGCAGGGACAGGCTGTGCCTGCTCAGCCCAGGGGATGGTGAATGTGGTGAGGAGGGGATGTGGAGGATGGAGCAGGGCTTATGGCAAGAAAAAGGGGCAGGAGTTGCGGTGAAGCAGGTGATGTGAATGGACAAAGCATTGCTCATCCCCATGCCCCGGTGCACTGTGGCATGTGCAGGAGGAGAATTAGTTGAGGGAGTGACTGATGCAGCCCAGAAGTGTCAGAGGGGCACTTCTGGTTCCTGTGGGAGGGATGAGCCATGGCTGCAGAGACCTGCATCCCTGCAGGGCCGGTAGTGTCATGGCCCATCAAGGGCAGCCTGAGCTGTGGGGGGGGACATGTCTGAATGGGGGCCTGGAGGGGGTCTGCTGGTGCAGGCTGAACGTCCTGGGAAGCTCCGTGCTGTGTGCTATGGAGGAGAGAATATGGTGTCCTCGGACACAAGGGTGGATGGGGAGATTCATGGCTGAGTGACCCTTCGTGCTACAGGTGCACAAGGAGAGTCCATCCCAACCAGCCTGAGCAAAGGGTCTCATGCTGGCAGCAGGACGTGTCACCTTCCCTCTCCGCCCTGGGCCTGATGGGTCACTGGGGATTTCTCTCCCATGTCCCACCTCAGCACCTCCCACCCCAACTAACACCCACTGTCACCTCCACCAGAAATATGCCAGAGGCCTCGGTGGGACGCAAGACTCCAGCTGGCACCAGACCAGAGCAATTACAAGACAAACAAAGAAGTGATGCTGAGCTGTCCTGAGGGTTTGCAGCCACCCTTCACCCATGTCAAATGTTCAAGGGAAGTCCAGTCCAACAGCAATGGGAAACCTGTGTACAGAGAGGTCTGGCTTGGAAAGGACAGCAAAGGCCAGTGGAACCGCACTCAGAGCAGAGTGGAGTGCATCGGTAAGGGAGACATCAGGAGCTCTCCTGGCTGCCCCTCTCTGCCCATCCTGTGTGGTGTCCTGGAGCTGCATCTCTCACTTTGCTGTCAGGGAGGATGAGCATCTCTGCTGGGTCTGTGCAGAGGGAATGATGGGGAAGGCGAAGTTTGGCTGCAGGGCTGGGAGGGGGAGGGAAGGCAGTGACCCTCTTGCAATGTCTCCTCCACAGAGGTGCTCCACATTGACCCCAGGACCCTGGAGGTTTCCAGCACCAGCATCAAAGTGAACTGGTCCTGCCGGATCCCTGAGGCGTGCTCGCACATGCGGGCCACGTGCCGGCTGGCATGGCCTTCCTCCCCTCCCTGTGAGGCTGAGGAGGTGCTGGGAGAGGAGATGCTCCATGGGCAGGCGGGGACATTCTCCTGCCCTGCTCTGCAGCCCTTCACTGAATACAGTGTCACCATCTCCCTGCTGCCCGGTACCATCCTGTTCACGTGGCTGGTCAGGACCACGGAAACAGGTTTGTATTCACAAGGATAGGAGATAAGGAACAGGTTTGGGATATGTCACAGGGGAGGGTGGATTAATGTCCTCTTTACCCACAGTGTTGTCCCCCTGCAGTGGTGTCCTGGAAACGGGACTGCTTGGATGCTGTGGGGGTCTGGAGAAGGGGCTGTGTGGGGCTGCCTGTGCCCTGCTCTGGGATCAGCTCCTGGTCAGCAGCCCCACGCGTGACCCCATCCTTCTGTGTTTCCAGTGCCGGACAAACCAGAGAAGCTGTGGCTGGATCCCAGCACGGGGTCGCTCAGCTGGGAGCCGCTGCCCTCCTGCAAAGGGGAGATCATTGGATACCAGGTACCAGGGGACCTCGGGCTGCCTGTGTCCTCCTTCCCTTGGCACGTGCTCCTGCATGGAGCTCACTGCAGGCAGCATGGGGACGGTGGGGATGGAAAGCTGTGATGGCCCATGGTTCCCAGCCAGTTGGGGGGAATATGTAGCTGCGATGAGCAAGAGCATTTTCTGTCTCACCCTCCACATTCCTTGTGGTGTGCAGTTGCCTGGGGAGGTGGTGGATGCCCCGTGCCCTCTGGGCTTCCTCGCTGGGTGTGCTCAGCCTGGGGTTGTGCAGACTTTGCAGCTCCGTGTGCCACACTTGGTGATGTGCCTCCTGCAGTGGCCTCCCAGGGTTTCCTGTGCCTCTTGTGTACTTGTTTCTGGTTCCTGGTACAGCGATGCCTGTGGTTTGTGCTGTTCTCTAGAAAAGCCTTTCCTCCGGCAGAGCTGCATCGTTTCTTTGGCTTTCTTCAGTGCGTGAATAGAAGCTCTGGGTTGCTCTGCTTCTTGGGCTTGGGGCTTCCCCCAGGGTGCATCTCTGCTTTCTAGTACCCCTACCAGTGTGCCCAGCTCCCTCTCTAAGG